AAGACCAGTTGACATGTAAATTACAAGACTGTTTATGATAGTGAGAAATCCATTACTTTTGAAATGGAGACCTTTCTAAAGCTTTATGACATCTTCAACAGGAAGACAGTACTTCAGGAGTTAGGAACATACCTGGAATAGTGGGAATTATAAAGAAAAACTTGAACGTACCCTCAGAAATAATAGTTTTTAGATTAGCATCGTACCTTGGCATTCACTCTAAGGAGGGAGGTGCTCTACAATCTTTAATCAAAATGCATTGTCAAAGTTCTTGATAGGTTACTACTTTTAAACTTCATATAATTGTAGAATATACAGATATGTGTCTGTCCTGTTCTTGTTATGGATCTGCTCAATAAATTCTTGCCAACAGAGACAAGAATGAAAAACTGTAACAGATGGACCATGGATTAATCCAAACATTAGAACAACCTAAGATACAGTAATCAACATCAAGTCGTCTTAATAACTGGTTATACTCTTTTTGCCTGAGATTTTGCCTGAGCTCTCAGTGCAGTTGGGTGTTTTGATAACTGAAGAAAGCCTAAAGAAACTTGCTTTGAACACAAGATGTTTTTATCAGTCTGGCGAGCCAAAAATCTGGGCAGGAGATTCATGAACAGGGTACGGAAGACCAGGCAGTTTAATCTGCACAGATTGGTAGGTCGTAGGAGGTGCAGTATGAGTAATAATGTAATAATTGTAATACTCAATATTTATACCACAATGTATCATTGTAGAGTAATCGTGCTGGGTTGTTTACTTATGAGGTAGTTTCAGCAGTAAAACATCTGTTTTTTTTTGACTGTGTTAGTCACACCTGATCAAGGGCTGTCTTTTTAAGTCCTGTGTCTCAACTAAAAGCTAGGGTAGGCTTTCTAGCATGTCTTAGAAGAAGGAAGTTATAATTTTCTTTTTCCACAGTATCCAATTTGAGTAGTGTACTCCTGGGCTTTGACTTAAACGATTGCTTATGCTTGTTAATGAGACTTGAATTTGTTATGCCAGTAAAAATTTATTAAACGTAGGATTCTGAAAATTATAAAGAGTAAACATATATTTGTCTGCATTTTCAGTGGTATTTTTTGTTCCTCTGTCTGGAGAGTTAAAGTTGCATAGTATATATTTGAGTATTTAAATTGAGTTCTGCACATTTCTTTTGTCTGTATTTTTTGGTGAAAACCTAAGTGGTACTGAAAATTAAATAAGTCCTTACCATTTTTTTAGGTTGTTCTTGAATTTTCTCTATTAAGTATGTAAATTTATTTCTTTAGGATCTGTGCTAATTTTAGTCAATAGTCTGTTTAGCAGGATGGTAATGAAATTAATATAAGACACTTTTTGAATTCTTCAAGGGGTTTGTTGCTGTTTAAAAAGGGTGATTGAGATAACTGCTGTTTGCATATACAAACAGTTTTTGTTGCTGCGTATTTTTAATTTGAAGGTATGCATGCTGCTTGTAAAGGTATATCCAAGAAAAGCTGGAGGTGAGAATATGGCATTATGTTGTGTTTTAACTTGTCCCAGCAAGCTGGTGGTGAGAATTGGCTCAAGTACAAAGCCAGAGTAACTTTATTCCAAGTATTTGGTGTTAATTTTTAAGTACAGTGACCACTGTGATTGTAGTATCTTGTTAATTTAACAAATAATGTTACTCTGCATCCACTACAAGTACAGCTGTATCTTGCAGTAAATTTATTCAGCTGTAGAAAGGTATGTGTACTGATGTAGAAATCTTAATGTGCTATTTTGTTCTGTGGTGTTTTCTGTGGTTTTGGTTTTTGTTTGGTTTAGTGATTTGTTTTTTGTTTTTTTTTTTCTTTTTTTTTCCTGGGGGTGGATGGGAAGAGTGTTGGTTTGGGTGTTTGGTCGCTTTGTGTGTGTGTCCCCCCCCATTTTATCCCCATCAATTGACTATCCAGAATATGAAACAGGGATGATGGAAGCTCTTGGTTCCCTCTAGGGCTTCCTGAGATACCCTGTTGAGCCTCCACAGATGCAGTTTCAGCTACCAGCTCTGTGGTGGTGATGCTCAGATTGTCTCCTTTCTTCCTATACTTCTTTTTAGGCCCAAGTAGCACTTTCTCTGATTTCTACTTGTAGGTATTTGATCCTCTGTTGAAATGCTCTTTGACCAAAACAAGCCCTTGTTTTTCTTCCCACCCACTGTTTTTTCAACTGTACAAGCAACCGTTCTTCTAGTCTGGACTGCTTTGTGTTATCCTCATTTTGTACCATCTCTAGAGCTATGCTATACCCTTCTCTTTAGGTTGCTTTGTAACTTTGAAAAATCAGGATTTGTCTCGTCACCACAGTACAGGCTCCTACAAATAGCTGCAACTGTATCTCCTTAGGCGTCAGCAAATCTTGCTCAATATCATTAACATCCATATGGAGTGTAGGTGACAGATTGCTGTCTTGTATCACCAGTGTGATTGCATAACCTCTTCTTGAAGTACTTTTCTGGATTTCTGTCTCCGTTGAAATTAAATCATCATAGCCTCACTTTCAGGACTCTTTTTTTCCCTCCCATATGAACCTTTCCTGAAATGGTGATTTCTAAACTCTTTCAGTGATGCCACAGCTGATGGTTGGCTGGGTGGGAATCATCCTTGAAAGAAACTGCCTTAAAACACAGCCAACCTGTATCAAGTTTAGACAGAGTGACATAACAGCAAAAAAAAAAAAAAGAAAAAATTGGTACGTTACTTTTCCGTGTATCGTGGTGTTTCCTTTTAGAACTGTAAATACTACTATCCAATGCAACTCTCAATTTGGAGCCTATGGAGAAATATATGTGTATATATGTAAAGCTTAATTGAAGAATTCTTAATGCTGTTTTTTGAGAGTTACAGTAACACTGTTGTGCACTCAGATCTTCTAAAAACACTACACCAGTGCCAACATTCAAGGTCATATGAAGAACAATGTTAAAAATATTTTCACTTTGGTTCCTTACAAAAAGACTCAGAATTCAAAGCATGTAATTCATGGTTTGTTCCAAACACCTCCAGTCATAGCCAGGGATTAAGAAATTTCTGCAGTAATAAATTCACAGAGGTTTTTCAGACTAGATATTTGCTTTCAGTCTAGGGCTCAGGTAGGGCTGCAGTCTTCCCATGAAAGAATTCACGTTATTAAAAGCTTGTCCATTTAAAAGGATCATTGCAGCTGCTGTGTCTCAGACATTTCTTTAAGTCCATTATCTATTTTTTGAACACAGCTTTGAGGACGCTGCATAAGTCAGACGGAGTTTCATACGATTTACACTGATAAGCTGTTGTATTTTATGAATATTGTTAAAGTCTATCTGAAAGATGTACTCAGAATGTTTGTATGTGATATGCTATTGAGCTGTACTGGTAACTAGATGCAAATGGTACATTGATCTTATTACCACAGTTTTAAATTAATGTACTTATTATTTCTGCTTGTAATGTATGCTGTCAGGAAGAATTTGTTGTAGAGAACAGGATAGCTGGCAGTAAGAATTTGTTAAGCAGAAGAGTATATTGTGTCAGTAAAAATATATGGGGGAATTCAGTAATCCCCATTAAAATGCTTATCATGAATCACTGGATTTGTAGAATTGTGATGGTGTGGCAGTGTTGTAAGGGCCTTTTCTGCCTTTGCTCATCATATGGAGTTTTATTCTTTTTGAAAATGTTTACCCTGGTGTTATGATTATGACTGTTAGAGCATTTTGTATAGAAGAATACCACAACCAGTTTTGATAACTATGGTGGATTTCTGGAGGCAAGCTTGTACTGAAAGCCTTGACACTTAACTGATTTCCTAAGTAAGCTTTTATGTGAGCTGGAGGATTTTTTTTAAAAATAGTTGGGTATAAAAATGTGATGATGAGTTCTGTAAGGTAACTTGAATTCCACATAATATTTTATACAATAAATCTGTGAGTTCTGTTTTTGCTGTGAAGAGAGCAGAGAAAATTCACATCTATAACACTAATACTCTTGTGACTTGAACTGGAAATCAAAGTAATGTCAGTGAAAATTTATTAGTGTAGAATTTTTGTTTTTTTCCAATTCTTTTACTTCTGAAAAGTGATGTTGGATCACATATATCTTTATTGTTGTGCTGAGAGTAGCCACAGAATTGTGGAAATTGATGTTATGATCATAACACATTAGTCATAGAATAAGAACAAGAGATTCTTGGCTCTTAGAGTTTAATCTTAATATCTCTAATCTCTTTGCCTCTTTGCTGATTAAAAAAAAAAAGGCAGCAAAACAACCCCCCTAGACATCCATTGATATGCAACACAAAATACCTGTTTTGTGGTGCTGTGTTTTCTTCCCTCAGTGGTAGTTTTATGCACTAAGGAAGGAGGAAAAAGGAGGAGGAAGCAGTGAGCAGTTCTTTCTTGAATAATTTTTCTGAACGTGGTGCTAAGGACTTGCTCTGTGGAACGTTTTCAGGAAGGCAGAATCAGTGAGGAAATGCAGCTACTCTGCATGCTCCTGATTTTCTTCAGTTCAGGTTTATAATTTATGCAAGCAAGGAAGTGAAAAGATGCTATTGGATCTTACTGCAGGCAGTGATTGAAACTTGGTTATTTTTGATCTGTGCTTTCTCCACCCCGTAGCTTTTATCATCCACCGCCATCCTCATAGCTGTGGATTGTAACATTGTACTGTATCTGCTACCCGGTTTCTCTTAAATATCTGTTGTCAGCTAAGAAGAGAAAACAAGCTTTCGATCCTGTGGGTTCTGCGAAGGAAAAATAAGAAAAACATTTGCTTGCTTATTTAAAAAAATTGCTCAAGATCGTGCTTACCACTGTAATTACAGGTAGAGAAGAGATGTAGGGGTGGAAGGAAAATAGCATCGGCTATCAAGAATTTTGTTTTCCTGGTTTGTAAGCGATGCTGCTGTAATTCTATCTGCATTTTTTTTTTTTTTTTCCCCCCTGCTCATTCACCACTCAGCAGCTGGTAGGGAAGTAAGACTGCCTGGCAACCACCTGCAGAGCTGCAGAGATGAATTACATTTTCGGAAATAACACACTCCTCTATTCTCGCGCCAGTCGAGGCAACACTAGCTCAGGCCACAGCTCTGTAGGCCCGAAGCACAAGCAGTGGGCAAAGAAAGGCTCAACAGATGAGTTACGGAGCGAGCCTTCCCGTTGGCAGCAGATAGTTGCATTTTTCACTCGGAGACACGGTTTCATTGACTGCATTTCTGTTGCTGCCAGCTCCACCCAGGTAATACGCCACTTGTTGAAATTGTGTCTGCATGTTTTTCTGGTTACTTGCTAGTGAGAAATAGCAATGATTTATAGATGCATGCTTTCATATAATCTCTGATTTATGAGTGGTCTTTTCAGTCTGCTTTCATTTTCATATTTTACAGAGCTCTGGATAGTTCTTAGCATTAAACCACAAAAATGGAAACACTAAATGAGATCTGATCTTTATTTCAGTTATTTTGCAAGTGATGAACCTCGAACAAGTTTAAATGAGAGATTTTAGTGAAATACTAAAAAATGTAGTTTACATTCTACTGCCTAGCTCTGGAGGGGAATAACGTAGTTAAGAAATACCAGCTCCATAGCTGTAGTGAGATGAAGTCTAATAAAGATAACATATTTCATAGTTAAGGAGTTGTTTTTAATGGATTAAAGAATTTGAAATCTTAATTATATGTAGCACAACAAATTGCAGTCTGTATCAGTTTTCTGGGGTGTTTTTGGCTGCTAATAATCTGCAAGTAAGATTAAGGAATGTCTTCCTTGCATACCGACTATACGTTTTATAGTGCAGGCTGTAAGAAAAACATGACATTTTGCAACTTCACTGTCAATCTGCTGTAAGTGGTATTTTTATTAATCCTCATTGAAAGTCAGGTGAGAGAAGGCAAGCCAAATTTTGTGTGTGGATTTGGGGTGAGTTCTTATGGTTTTTATTGAAAGAAGTTTAAACTTACTTGCATGAGCAAATGAATATCTTTTTGGATAATGTGAGAAAGAAAGATCATGCTGAGATGTCAGCATTACTTAATGTGAGATGAGATTTGTTTTGCTTACTGTCAAGCTAAATTCAGCTTTAGTCAAGATGTCATTTAATCTCAATGAGTAAAAAAAAATTAAAAAGAAGAATTATTTGCCCTCAGGCACCAATATTATTAAAGATAATTTGTATCTGTTGGTAATTTTTTCGAAGGTGATAGACTGGCACTTGCTCTGAGGTCTGCTTATTACTTCCTGTTTTTTGCTTGTGAATTTAGAGTGAATAATATATAGAAGGGGGATTTTCACTTTCTGGTTGCAAAGGTACATGAGTGTTGAAGAGGGATCCGGTAGTTTCTGTAATGGGGTCATTATACAACCATAAGTGATGCATTAGGTCGACATAAAAGCTTTTGAGTAGTGGTTTGGTTTTTTTGAAGCAAAAATATACACTCTTAACCTTTTGAATACTTTGTTGCTCTTATTTTTTAAATGCTTGAACAGCAGTTGGACTGGCTAGTCAGGACTAGAAATTTGCTAATAAAATACTGAATAATCTCTGCTTTGAGGGTGGGTTGGACCAGCTGAAGGTCCTGGGATCCCTTCAAAGCAAAGCTGTGATTCTGTGAATATCCCAATGTTAGTTCTCTTTTTCTGCTATGAAAAAGATAGCCTATTTCTGTGAAAGCATGCCAGGTGTAGTAGTTGTTTTTTGTTTTTTTATTTTAAGTCTTGGTAGTTCTGTTAAAAAGAACTGCATGTTCATGGCCAGAATGAGGAGGGGAAAAACCCCCTAAAATATTTTGAAATTATTGTAAAAAAACCTTAATGAGCGTATTCAGAAGTAATGCACTGAAAATTAAGAGCTTGTTGAATCATCTTTCTCTGGAAGGGTGCTGTACTGTCCTTGTACCTTATCCACACACTGCAGTTATTCTAGCCTCAGGGATGGGAAAAGACAGCTGGAGATGGCTCTTCATGGTATGATTTTGTTTTTCAGCTGTCTTCAGTTTTTGTTCTGTGATGTAGTATTCTGAAAATTCTTGATAACTTTTCTTTATTTAAGATACATTCCCATCACGTAAATACAATAACACTTGAGGAGTCCAGATAAATAATTATATGTGGTATACCTCTCCTCTAACTATGTCTGTTGAAATTCTGCTTCTGATGATGAGCTTTAAATAGTTCTATTGTTGCAACATCATGGTTTTTAACACATACAAAATCAAACCAATGGTTTTTACAGTACTGGTCTTCTGCTTCCCCTGTGAATCTGCTATACAGCATCCATTTTCAGCTGTCTCTGCGTTTGCTTGGCTTCCTGATGGGATGACATGGAATGGTGATACTTGCTTAGTTCCCTCCGTTACCAGTGAAATGACTGCTGGAGATTGGGCTGCATGACCCTGTCCTCCTGTGGGACTTGTGACAGGTCGTCTTCCCCTGACAAAGTGGTAAAAGAACTTGCTGAAGGGACTTAGGATTTTGAGTTATTACTTGAGTAGAGGGTTTTCTTTCTTGCTCCTTAGGATACAAGTTGGTGATGGATATGGTAGCACTGTTTTTGGCTTTAGTTATTGCTAGGTTTATGCCCCAAAAAATGCATGAGTACATGAATGCATTGTAGCATGGAGGACTCATGGGGATTGAAAGGCTACTGTAAAAAAACCATGGCCCTGAAGACTACCAATACATTTTTAAGTACTAAAGGTGCTTTACTTACTAGTATTGCCCTTTTTTAGTGTTGTTAGAAGACTCAGGTTACCTGTCTCATAGGAAGAAGGCAGCAGTAGAATCAAGATGGTGTGAACAAAGTCAGTGAGGTGGTCATTCTGACTCCCTGCTTGTGTCCTGCCCTAGCCAAGGTCTCCAGGGTGCTTTGCACAGAACTTGAGGTGGTTATAGGAATTTGTAAACTTTTCGTTGCTGTAGGAACGAGGAGTTCAGTGATCAGACATAGAAGCCTGTCTGCAGAGCAGCAGGACTTCCCCCTGGGCTAATACCTGTGCCATTTGCAGTGGTGACCTGCTGCAGAGGTTGCACTGCCTTCCTGCCCTACTGACCACACCAGCCTCCACTCTGACTCTGAGGAAGCTGATTTAACATGCTTAGGCCTTTGAGGCCTTTATTGTTTCTTCCTTCTGCAGTCACTGAGATGAGGAGTTAGTTACTCAATTGGAAGAATTAGGGAATTTGCTTAGAAGCTGGTCTTTCAATTTTTGTCAGCAAGTTTATTAATTTCTTTAATAAAAGCCAACTCTGTGGCATAAAATGGAAGATGGGGATAAAAACATACAACAAATTGATGCTGTCACAAGGGTGAATAACTAAGCCATGAGTTTAGTAGATAAATGGTTGTGCAAATGCAAAATACTGGGTGATCTGAAGTGCTGTCCTAACAAGAGATAATTCATCTTGTATCAGCAAAGATAACTGTATCCAGTTCTTCCCTCACCAAAGCCTTTCTGGAGCTCTGAGGAACACCTGTTACTGACAGAGAATACAGCTGTCGTGTCTCAGAATATATTTTAACAGTCAGTAATTGGCCCTTATTTTGCTAGAAGTTGATAAACTATGATTTGTCTGAATCTCACATGGCATTGAACAGGTTCTAACAGCAATGTATTTGGGCTATTCTTAGCATGTGACTTAGGATATTATGCTTCTGGCATTTGATACTGGAAGATTTAGCTCTTTGAATATGCTGTGCTAATTTATGCTTCTGTTTTGTAGGAGACATTTTAGGAGAGGGAGGCAGAAAACCTCTCCTAACTCCACCTAACCTTTACGAAAACTTAAATTTCAGAGCTTTACATATTGCTTCTGTGAGTTGTTTGAGCCAAATAATTTACCTTTGTATCTCTTCCTTTTGAGATCTTGATAAAAGTTTTGCTGTATGTCATTACTCCTAGAATATTGCTTTCAAATTCACTGAAATATTATGAACATAGTTCTAGCATGTATGAAATGTTATAAGTAATCAGACAACAACATTGAGGTGTTGTAAGGTGCATTTAAAAGATAATGATTAAAAAAACCCCAATTCTCTACCCTAATCCCTTTTTTATTGTACTTTTACAGTTCAGGAATGGCAAAAGATGATTTATCATCAATATCAAAAACCATTTACCATACTTCTTATAATTTTGGTATATTTAAGTATTTATATGTTTTTAGACATACAGGTCATAACACTAAGTCATATGCTTAAAATTTGTATTTTTCATATGCTAAAATAAGATAAAATAGTCTTGATGTAGTATATGGAGGTTTAATTAAACAGAAGTTGAAAAGGATGTGTCTCAGTGGGTGGTATGTTTTATGAACAATATTAAATTGGAGTGGATGTGTGACTTTTTCAGCATCCCCTCAAGTTTACATGTGAAACTGGGACTTGATTATGCCAGACATTGCATAATGTGAAGCTTTGTACTTGCAGGATTTATTTCATTCAATAATTTTTGTTTTTTTTAAATTAAAGAGGTGATACCATAAAGACAAAAGGAATTACAGGAGTAACTGTAGGGAATGTTATGAGAGTATGTAGAATAATGGTTGTGATAGATAGATTTTTTTTTTTTTTTTAATCTTTTGCCTGAGTTCAAAATTTGAGCGTATGTTCACCTGGAAATTGTTGCTGCTTATGTGATGAACACATGGGAAAGCAGCTTTAAATAATAATTGCTTTGGATGACTTGAACTATAACAATGCACCTTCTGAAATGGAAACATGAGTTTTACTGGACCAAGTTTCCTTCTTAGTCTCAATTTTTGGCTACGTAATATCACACATTTGTAGCAGTATGAACTTATTTTCCAAATTTTAGTTCTGCCACTTTTGCATTTTGTAAGAGGGCATGATAGCAGGGATAAAAAACATAGGAGTTTATTCTGTAAGAGGAATGCTTTAATATGTGCATAGATATATGCATATATAGAGTAATATGTGCATAAATAGAGTAAGAAATAGGAAATTCTTGACAGTTTAAACTCCAGCAAGGGACTGTCTCTGGAACCTTTGGTTCATTTTGTAAACACTTCCCACCTGTGTACGGTAGAGAAGGAAGCTTCTCAAGACTGTGAAATTTGCTTGACATTTTAAAGAGACATGCAATTTCAATAGCATATTAAAATCAATAAATCTTAGGAAAATATATCATGATTCATGTCATGTCATGTAGGTTGTGTTAGCATCATGCTGGTTCCTGGCCGTAGCCAGTTGTCTCTCCTCCTGTGAAGCCAGCCAGTGTCCCG